GGTTTTCCACAAAAAACTATTTATGTAAACTTTAATTTTCCGATTTGGGCCACCGAATCGTTTTCTTAAGTTTATGAAGCTGTTGACCAGGAAAAAAAAAAAAAACTATTTTGTTAGATGTATAGGCCCATATGTAAGGCCCAAATATGGCCATTTAATGGGTTTCAGAACTCTGCGGAGTCCCCAGATCGTCTGCTCCGACGAGAGGATCATCGTCGTCGCCGTTGCTCGGAAAGGTACGCCTTAGTTTTTACCTTTCCGCGTAAAGGCTTGGCTTTTTTATTATGATTTCTCAATTGATCCGATGGGTTTTACGATCTAGAGCTCATTCTCTGCAAACCTCCCTTGTTTTTTCTGTTCGACGATATGGATTTCCACTTCTTAGCTGATATAGCTCTCCGTCGAAACTGCGCATAAGGTGCTCGACGAAATGTTTTGCTTGTTTTTCCCCAAGTTCGTGACTCTAATTTATTTAATCATCGGTTTATGTGATTCGATAGTTAAGCATAAATCCATAGTTCCGCTTGTGCTGATCGAGGAATCGAAACATACCTCACCCTGTTGATTTGTCTTTTGAATCATATGATTTACACTTACTCTTCATTTGGAACATGTAGGATATATAAGATTGAGTTACCATTTTCTATGTCTATTACATTACTGATTCATTGTTCTCTGTCTAGGTTAACCTCGCTATGACGAATTGGAGACATAAAATGTGGAGAAATTTGAGCTCATTTCAGGGAGCTAGTTACTCAACTACATCTTCCAGAATCAACAAATCAAAGTTTGATGACTTTAGAAAAATCCGGCCAATGATTCTAAGGCGAATCGAAAATAGAGGGAAAGAGTATCCGATTAAAGAGATTGTTCCTGTGGCCGAAGAAATCCTTAAAGCCAGACATAATCTTATCACTAACGTCACGGCGCTTCTTAAAGTGTTTCCTGTATTGACGTGCAAGTAAGTTTCTAGTTCTTTCTTCTGATTCAAGAACTCTGTTTTTATATTGAGGCTTGTAAAAGCTTAAATCTTTCAGATTCTGCTCAGAGGTATTTGTTGGGAAAGAAGGACACTTGATTCAGACATGCCGAAGTTATATCCGGCGTGGCAACAACCGGCTACATGAATGGGTTCCTGGTTCCATAAATGATATACTTGTGCCTGTCGAATCCTTCCATTTGTACCACATGTCTCAAGGTGTTATCAAACATCAACAGAGGTTTGATTATGACCGGGTTCCCGCTGTCTTGGAACTATGTTGTCAAGCAGGAGCCATCCATCCCGAAGAAATCCTGCAATATTCGAAAATTCACGATAACCCGCAAATCTCGGATGAAGATATCAGGAATTTTCCAGTTGGAGATCTCAAATATGTTGGGGCAAATGCTCTAAATGCATGGGAGAGAGTGAGAGCTGGTCTGAAGAAACTATTGCTCGTTTATCCTTCAAAAGTTTGCAAACGGTGCCACGAGGTTCACGTTGGACCAAGCGGTCACAAAGCTCGGCTATGTGGTGTGTTCAAATATGAGAGCTGGCGCGGCACACATTACTGGGAAAAAGCCGGTGTGAACGATCTGGTACCCAAGAAAGTCGTATGGCACCGGAGACCTCAGGACCCGGTGGTTCTTGTGGACGAAGGGCGGAGTTATTACGGACATGCCCCAGCTATCGTGAGCCTTTGTAGCCATGCCGGTGCAATAGTTCCTACTAGATACGCTTGCGAGATGAAGCCTCAAGGTTTATCTTTTCCTTTCACTAATTCAATTTCAAGTCGGGAAATGTAGAGAGTAGTCTTCCAGTTAGTTTGTTAGAACAAAACAAACAAAACCCGAGCCTTTATAAGCGGTATGTCAATTGTTATTCTCTGTACAATCGTCTTATTTAATCACATGGTTTATTATTATTCGGTCACATGAAAAAGGCCATTTCTCAAAAATTTGACCATTTGAAAGTAGCAATATATTGGCATATATATACATAAAACAAATTATGGATAACCTTAAACTGAATTGACCCTTGACCTAAAATCATTTCCGGTTTGTCATCCAGTCCAATATTTAAAAGGTTGCTTTTTAACTTTCGTAGGTAAAAAAAGTTGATCAATCTAGAACTCCACGGAAAATTTGGATTCTAAATCAAACCACACATAGTTTGAACCTTCTTAAGGATCTTCTACACAGTATGAATGAAACTTTTACAATTCAGAACTACACAAAGTTTAAAAGTCAATTCAAAACTACATGGCATTTTAGATTTAGAATAAGCGTGTTGAAATTGAAATTAAAATAAACCGGATTTGCAAGTTGCAAGTAAGAAAACCGGCAAACAAACATGTGAGCCAAACGCTACAAGCCTACAAACATGAAGAGCCCACTACATTTTTAAATCCCACAATCGGCCCAATTTCAGCTAGGGCTTCTGTGTCGGCAATCGGTTGCCGGAATCTATGGAAACCACCTATATCACATCGTAACCACAGAGAAGAAACAGACCTTTCAACCTAACTTATTTGTGCAACATTGAAGAACATGTTGTCGGATCTTCCTAGGGATATGGCGGAGGAGGTGCTCTCCAGGCTCCCGGTGACATCTCTGAGAGAACTCCGATCTGCTTGCAAAAGGTTATCCAAAAATCGGAGCCATGCTCAAGCAAAAGCAGCAACGAAGGAGGAGGAGTTAACTGCAAAAACGACGACGATGTACGATCTTCCTAGGGATTTGGCAGAGGAGGTGTTCTATAGGCTCCCAGTGACATCTCTGAGAGGATTCCGATCTGCTTGCAAAAATTGGAACACTTTATCCAAAGATCGGAGCTTTACTAAGAAGCACGTTGCTCAAGCCAAAGCAGCAGCAGCAAGGGAGTCTATGGTGGTCATGGTGATTGATTTTCGGGTTTATTTGATGACTCTCAATCTCCACAGGGGCGTTGACCCATCTATAAACTGTCAAGGTAAGCTCATTAGCTTAACAGATTCAGATCGAGTCGATATATCTGAAATTTTTCACTGCGACGGTTTGCTGTTATGCATCACAAAAGACTACAATAGGTTCGTTGTTTGGAATCCTTATGTGGGCCAAACCCTTTGAGTCGAACTTGGTGGTCCTCCTTACAGAAGGGACAGGTTTGTGGTCTATGCTTTAGGATACGAGAATAGTAAATCACGACGCAACTACAAAGTTTTGAGATGTTTTAGTTCCGACGATGACTCACCTGTTGAGTACGAAATGTACGAGTTAAACTCCAATTCATGGACGGTTCTTGATGTCGTTTCCAATGCGGAGATAGAGTTTGATGCACGCGGTGTGTCTCTCAAGGGAAATACTTATTGGTATGCTCGAGAAGAGTATCCAGAAACGGGACGATATATAGGAAGTGACGTTCCGGATTTCTTGATTTGTTTTGACTTTACCAAAGAGAAATTTGGGCCAAATCTTCCTCTCCCGCTATTGACGAATATAGTGTGACTTTTTCTAGTGTTAGAGAAGAGCAACTTGCCGTGTTATTTCAGCGTTGGGATACATTATATATGGAGGTTTGGGTAACGACTAAGATCGAACCTGAAGTTGTGTTGTGGAACAAGTTGTTCTTAGCCGCGGATATGGAACTTCTCAATAGTTTCCAATTTGCAAATGGAGGAGGGAGTTTCTTCATTGACGAAGAGGACAAAGTTGTTGTGGTTTTTGATAAAGACAAATATAGAGACAATGTCGAGGTCGAGACCACACGCCTCAACACAGCTTACATCATTGGAGAAGATGGATATTACAAAGAAGTGGATCTCGGAGAATCTACCGAAGAAAGACATTATCCAATTGGGTGCTCCTATGTTCCAAGTTCTTTGCGTATCAAGCAAAGAGGCAAAAGAAAAAGAAAAAGGAATTTGATTATTAATTAGTCCATTTACACGAATGACAAGTCTTTGTTTACACTTGGATTCAAACATGCCATAGTTATATATACATGTATACTAATAGCCTCCCAAAGCTTATAAGAACACAAGTCTGTAATTTTTTTTGTCTTACCCATTTCATAACACAAAAGTGTCTCAAATACACGAATGCACAAAAAAATTTAACTACCAACACTTCAAATATGAAAACGTGCAAGAGTGGAAGACAATCTACTAATATCGTTCATGTCGGTTTACTTCGGTTAACCGTTATGTTCTCATCATATACCGGTATACGGCTACTGAAGATCTCAACTCTTTTATAATCATTCAGTAAAACATATTGGGCCTAAGTCCATTAGGCTGTTAAAATGAAAATTTGAAGCCCATTGGAGTTTGATTCTGGTTTAGTAGTTAACCGGTTATTCTGTTCAGCCTTAACCGGAGTGACTTTATGCCCCATATTACTAGTTGCAGTTGTTCTTGAACATGTGATCACCAATAAGAGGTTATATTATATAACAATGCCAAAAGAGATGTATATATGTTTGAAATTGTACAAGGACTTATAAAATTGCAATAATTTTTTTTTAAAAACATTCGTTCGTAGTAGTAACAAAGTGTTTAAATTTGTATATGTTGAATTGATATGTGAATTTGGGTCGAGCTTCCTCAAATAATTACAAAATCATAATGTGTTATTAAGCTAACATCATTGAGAATTCTTCTTATCTCAAGCACAAAGCCCATCATCCTATGGCACACATCCCAACGCCCAAGACGAAACTATATAATATATCCAAATTATATTATCTGTTTACATTATTTTAATCCCATTTTCCCTTGAAAACTCAAATAATACGTTAGAAATTAAATTATCACGTTCAAAGTGACGTAATTTCGGCCACCTTCTTGTAGCTTCCTGATTTCATCAACGGCCGGTGCTATAAGTAATATCATCCTCTTTTGTCCGTTTTCTCGTAATAACTATAAAACATACGTTTATGATATATAGGGTTTCATGGTTTAGAATACCAATGACATAACTATTTAATTTAATTTATAGATAGATAGTTGGTCTTGATACGAAAGTCGTTTTTTTTTTTTTGTGTGACGACAAACGTTCATTTGGAAGGAAGCCAATCCAACATCGAATCACATATATTGTAATTGAATAATCAAACAAATAACAACAAAAAAAATACCACAATGTTAGTATTTTGGTGGTCTTTTTGGAAAAAACGAAACATAAAGAGTATTTGCATTGGTTTGGATTGTAAACCCAATTTCGAACCAATATTAAACTTAAATTTATTATCACTTTTTTTTTGTCGTAAATTTATTATCACTTTTATAAACCAACTACCAGAAAAGGCCAACATCCAAATTGAATTTCTCTACTAGGCTACTCGCACATAGATTTGGGGGAAAAAGAAATATTATGTTGGTTTATGGGGCCCATAAAAACCAAAGAAGAAAAAAAATGAATATGTGTTAATGGAAATCTTTTAGGGAGAAAAAAGGGAGCAAGGAAACGGACAACTTTAAAATGGAAAGATAGGATTGCCAAGTCGCATGCAATATGCAAGTCCATTCAAAGCAAGATAGGGTTTATCTATTTTCCTCGGGAAACATAACTTATTTATTTTTGAAACGTTATTCAATGTTGAAGATACGATTTCTGTAACTTTTATTCACTTCAAAAAATTACCAAATCCGTAGTTGACAAAAAACCGTAATAGTTATAGTCTAGTACGTAAAAGAATTTAACCGAACGAGTGGTAAAAAAGTTTTTTCAGTTTAAAATTTCAAACCTAGAATCACTAATCCGATATAAAATAGTTAGATTCGTTCAAGGGATCGGCAATACACTCTAATCTTTTGAAATACCAATTTAGCTAAGAAAACAAAGTTGGTTTTAAGATGTCATAAATAATCGAGCAATAAAAATAAATTCGGTGTAAACAAATAATATTAAAAGCGTTAGGTCAATGGAAAATATCTCAGGGATTAGATCATCTAGAACCAAGCAATTATTCAGGATATCAATTAAGAATCAATCTAGAACTCAACCATAAAATTAAGAGGATCCACTGTCGTAGCATCAACNACTTCATCAATCAATCNAACACCCTAAACTGTCGTTTGAGATTACAAAGAATGATNAGCATTAAAGAGGATATGATCGATTTGTTCACAANTCGCCTTAACTTCAACTGTCGTTGGCTAAGGACGAATC